AAGGGAAACACATATCGCTGTATACACTATATTAAATGTCTAATGTGACTAAATCCAGACCACAGATTAGAGTTCACAGTGGGATGAAAGTGTCTGTGGGTGACTGGCTCAACCTGATCTCACAGAAATACGTGAAATGACCACGACCTCTTAACACCGCATTCCATGGTGGCAGCACGTAATGGGTTGAAATTAAATGCTGCCACCACAAAAACAATGCCAATGTAAAGTCAATTAGGGTCCTCTCCCGTGGTGGACACAAGGAATCCCTGATTCAAACACATCAAGTCAACCTCGTTTTCCTCAATGATATCTTTAACATTCCTGTATACACACAAAAACGCGGAAGTGTCCTTGATATTAAAACGGCAAATACATTCCTCTGTTATAATTTCCCACCAATAATAATAATAATGATAATAACGTGATAGTTCGGCTGTTCTAGATATTTGTTATAGCCTATTCAAATATTCAATCACAAAAACGCCGTTTCTAGAGAACTTGCTAAAATATCTGAAATGAACCATCATGCCTACTTTTTCTTAACATATTTCATCTAGGTGCAGTGTCATTACTAGTTCAGCTTTACTAGACATTTGATATACTCGGTAGATGTATCTTTTTACGACCCTGTTTTACAACAAGCCGCAAAAAACCTACCGTCCCAAAAACGCNATACAGGAATGTTAAAGATATCATTGAGGAAAACGAGGTTGACGTGACGTGATTGAATCAGGGAATCCGTGTGTCCACCACGGGAGAGGACCCTAATTGACTTTACATTGGCATTGTTTTCATGGTGGCAGCACGTAATTTCAACCCATTACGTGCTGCCACCACGGAATGCGGTGTTAAGAGGTCGTGGTCATTTCACGTATTTCTGTGAGATCAGGTTGGACTGGCTCTTAGAGGTGAGTCATGGTGACCAGTAGTGGGGATGTGTTTGTCTAAGTGGCTCTGAAAGTTCATCCCAGGGGTGTGAGTTGGTCTTTGAATCTTGGAGGTCTCTGAGGACCGAAGGTGGTTTGGGTCAGTGGTTGGGGTGGGACTCCCCAGGCACCTCATGATTCAGAGGGGAACGATTCGATAATAAAACGATTATCAGTGCATCAGAATGTTTGAGTCCAACACATGATTTATTTTTCTCTTTCGTTTAAAATATAGCAGCCTGTGTTTGGTGATCCATTATTACATAAACAGATTCTTTTACTTGCATAGGGCTCTTCGTATGTCCATCACTGGTGTCTGCAGGGTATCTCAGCAGCATTCCTGAGGGGTTAAAGAGAGAGCTGGTCCTTGGAGCTTGATGGTTGTACCAGTGTTGGTTTTGACAGCTAGTTTAGATTCAGTCTTCGTCTGAAGATGAAAATCTTTATTAGTTTTATTCACATTTTGGCCCTTTTTTATTCTTCATAGATTTAGTCTGGAGTTCAGTTTTTAGTCCTGATGTTTTCTGTATGTGTTTTTCTCTTCAAACTAATCCAGTGAGGCTGAATCATGGATCAGAAACGACTCAAGGTGACAGGTTGTATAAATAATGTGTGTGTCATGTCTCCAGTAGTGTGTGCTCTGCGAGAGGAGCTAGCTGCTAACAGCCACCGCTGCAACTAACAAACTCCACAAATCCATTCAGCAGCTCCACCATCCACAGTCAGACACACACGGCTGATTATTTACTGCTGAGTTACAGCTCACAACTCGCACCAACCCAAACATGCTGGTGCAGACTATTTACTGGAGTTTACCAGCCTCTCGCTCATCGGGCATCTGAAGATAATCAGGCATCTGATACAAGCGCCGCTGGTCTCCTTTTTTCATCATGGCAAAGAGGTCATTGACAAAATTTTTCGTCTTTCTAGTTTCCCTTGTTTCTCTTTCGTCCTGCAGCACATTATTGCAGAGCGCTTGTCTAACTGAGTCCTGCCTCACGTGGCTGTGGACGTGACCCCAGCGCCCTCTTTTCAAGCAGCATTGTGAGAGGTCGCTGCCCTCTCTCTGCAGAGGGTCAGGTGCATCTCAACCCTGAGTGTTCTCCTCCGTGTTATAATGCATGACAGTAAATCAGAGTGCCAACACAGCCATGTTACATTCCCTGTGCCGTGTCGTCGTGCCATTCCTCAGGCTTCATCTGACATGTGACACTGACTTGCTACTTCTCTCTCTGTCCCCCACACTGTCATGGCTGCAGTTAATTTACTGGTTGCAGGCTCACAAACTGTTAAGTTAAATTTTCACAAGCTGGAAGTGTGTACACCATGTCACATCATGTCTGTGTGAATTTACTGTGTATACAACAGCTGTGCCACTGTGTGAGGACAGAAGAGAATCGCATGAACAGCTTTACAGCAAAGTGTCAAAATCATCACACCCTTAAAGGATAATTCTGGCAACTGTCTTTATTTTTCTGTCAATGAATGTACCAACTGACACGCTCTGGTAGTGTGTCGAAGCCTGAAGTATCTTCTGCCTCCATGTAACAGAGCAGCAGTGTCCAGAAACACATCACTGAGCCACACTGCTGCACTTGGTGACATGTTCCTACGTTATCATGAACACAAACACACACACACACACACACACACACACACACACACACACACTGTGGTTTATTCTGACTCAGTCACACATACGCCATCCAGCTGCCACAAATTCCCACTGGAGCAGAGGTGTTCAAACTTTCAAGCCAAAATCTGAAGGCACAGCTGTATTTGTATCTGTGCACAACGGCTTCTGTAACGTGTGTTATCACTCTCATCAAGACGTAAGGCAATGAAAAGTTTGCCCCATACAATAAAGTGATCCATCGTTCCACTCACGGCTTTCTCCTTTTAAATGCTGTCATCCCTCACAGTGGCTGCCAAACGGGGCTTAATAAATGAGACTACATGTGAGGACGGGGACCTCAGGGACACACTGGTTTGAGTTGGTCAACTATGGAGTGAATGATTGAAGCCATAGAGTCGGATTAGAGAGGATATTTTAATCTCCAAACGCAGGAAGTTTACAACACTGACAGGAAGTGTGTGGTTCTGAAAATTAATGAAGGAAAATATCTCTAAACTCAATAGAATATACATATATACAGAATAGAATATACATTTTTTTTAAATCATTTCATCCACATTTACTCCTTTAAATAAGTCTAAATGACGACTCTCCACTCACGTTAATATTACACGTGGTGGGAGTAATTAAGAGATCTAATTTATATAACCTAGGATCGTGTAAGGTTGCACATGTGATGCAGCACTTCATTAACAAAGGCAAACTGGAAAATACACAAAAGTTGGCATGTTAACTTAAAGCCCTACAGTTGGAGAAACACAGGCAGCTTCGCACCTTAATTACGCACACACATCAAAAAGGGAAAAGTCGCATTAACGGCTTTTGTACACTTCATTTTTAGCAGAATTTGCTTCTTTATAAGGAAGTGGGCGTGCACAACAGACTGATCGTCAGTTAAAAATGTATTCATACTTTATTGTAAAGGCTCAGTTGAATATTGCAATAATAATAATAATGTGTGGTTATCACAAAATCCCACGGCACACCTGGATCGGCATCACGGCACAACATTTTGGAACCACTGATCTGGAGCACCAAATTCAAATTCCAAATTAAATCCTCACATGGTCCACTTATATAGGATTTGATGTATTTTGACGAGGCGCAGCTCATAATAGAGTTTCACTTTTTTTCTGCAACAAAGTGATGAAATCTCGCCGACTACTGACCTCTCTGGTCGACTAACGTTTGATCAGCTGTGAGGGGGCAGCTACTGTTTACTGTAACAGTGTCCATGTCTCTTTCAGTAAAAGTTTAAAAGAAGTAAAAAGTTTGAAGTGTTTTCTCATCTGCTGATGGCAGCTTCTGTAGTGATCTGAATAGCTCAACGTCTTACCCAAAGCTTCGTTATTATTGTGACCTTCTTGGTTTTTGGCGAAACTTTTGATTCACTGGTCCATCTCCGTCCCAACCCTCACCTGTGGTCATGAGCTCTGGGTAGTGACTGAAAGAATGAGATCGCAGATACAAGCGTCTGAAATGAGTTTCCTCTGTAGGGTGTCTGGGCTCAGCCTTAGAGATAGGGGGAGGAGTCAGACATCTGGAGGGAGCTCGGAGTAGAGCCGCTGCTCCATCACCAAGATCTGACCGCTGTCTCCACCCTGACATTATCCAAACTTATACCACAACGTCAGTGCTGGTTAAAATGTGTCGCTGAAGCTGGGAGCAAGTTAGCTAGCTAGCAAACGTTAGCACTGGCATTATTGTTTCTCAAATCATTACAGACCCAACAAACATTACTGACGGCTTCTATTCGACAACAGTTTTGCTACTTAGTGCAAAAAACATGTCGAACTAATGCTGGGTTCACACTACACAATATCAGCCCGACTATAGTTGGCAGCAGTGTCGTATGGTGACGGCTTGGAATCATGAACGACAATGAGTGTCGTACACGATAATCCATTGTTTCATCTCCTGTAGTGTGTCATAGTAGACGACAACCGACGCAGCATCTAGGAGGCCTCACGACATCCCGACTGAAAGTCTAGCATGTTTGATTTTCTTTTTGTCGTTCACAACTTCTCCCATTACAGCCGTCACTTTGACCAACAGGAACACAGAGCGATCTGCTGCCATGGAAACTGTAGGACAACAACAGCCCAGCCTTTTAGATATTTTCTGTAGGGACGTTAGCACACAGAGTAAAAAGGAAACAGCAGAGGCACTTTAGTTATAAAACAGGACAAGAATAACCTGATGACATCACACACGTCGTGAAAGACGCTCAGTGATGATTGGTGTGGACCATGGTGCAGTGTGTCATGTCTGTCGGCCAAGTCATGGCACCGTTTCATGACTTACATAACAGACTCCTTGTTGCCAGTTGAGAAGTTTGTGACGTCACTGCATTAGCCCGTACTATGCCGTGTGAACGCACTGAGCGCACTTCCTCCTCCTCATGTATTCACTGTCATAATGTGTCTCTCCTGCAGACCATCATGGAGGAGGCTGACCTGCTGAAGGAGAGGCTCCAGGCGATAACGGTAAGAACCAGTCCCGTGCTCCTGGCAGTAGGAAACACGTATACAATCTGTCTCTGTCACATGTTGAGTGCTGCTTTGCCGTGGTGGTCTTCCTGAAAGTCATACATGGTAACTGGACCTGCACTTGTATCGTGCTTGATGGCGTTACGCCTTTGAACGCTGCAATAAAATCGGTCCACCAACCACAGGAGCAGCCATCGGGAGCAATTTAGGGAGGCGGTATTTGACAACTTTGGAATGAGAACGAGCGGCGGTTTTCTCTCCTGTTGTGGTTAGTTTGTTCGAAGGGTTTATTTTTGGCCAAATTTCAAATGAGACGCAGAATAAAGTGGTTTTGGTGAAATATTTTTGTTTAAAGCTCCGATTTTGGGTCCATGATGTGACCATCTTTAAAAATCTTTGGTAACATAAACACAAACACAACCATTTAAATGTGTATGCCCCACCTAAAGCCAAAATATGAAACAGTTTCCTCCCTAGTGCTTACTAAAGTATTTGACATGCCTCTCCCTCTCTGCACCGCCCACCTTGTAAATAACAAACAGTCCCTTACTTGTTGAATTTAAGAAGTCCTGAAAATCTGCCTGGATATTCTGATTCAGAACATCATCATTTAAACTGCAGATTTCTGAGAGTGGAAAACAAACATCTTGAGAAATTCTCATGGCTGCAGAGTCTCTGAGTTTGACGGTCAGACAGAGACAGAGACAGCACTATAAATACCAGCAGACGTTATCAGGGAGATCCCGTTTCACTGGAGCTTAGCGTTAGTCTGATCCAAGATCCAGGAGCTAATCTTAGCCCACAGTGACCCCCTCAGTGTGACATCCAGCAACCCACGGCCTGTGTTTTCATGCTGAGTTAAAGGGACTCTTTGCCAGTTTTCAACCTGCTTTGTATCAAAACAGTGTAGGTAGCATGTGTTAATGAACTCTGGTAAACTTCTCTGCATCTTGCCAACACCCTCTGCCAGCTCAAATGTGCTGGATGACGCAAAACTTTTCACTGATTCCAACAACAGACTGAACTTCTGCACCACAGACACAAAAGCCCTATTTTTTTTCAAATCAGGCTGATGACGTATGATTTCTCAAAGAGTCTGGACCTCGTCGTCCGTCCACTTCTCGTAGCGTCTCTTCTTTCACTCAGTTTTCCAAATGATCAAAACACAACCGAAGTGAAGCTCAGAGAAATAAAATAAAGTTTGGAGCCACACTGACACGGAAGTGCGAAACGCTCCAAGTGTGTGTTCCACCAATGGGCGTTCTTCAGCACACAGCTCCGCCCCTCAAGTCACGGTGAATATGAAAAGTCCTACCCCCTTACTAGGTACTTTTTCAGGGAAAGTTTGGGGTTGAGGGAAAGATTACAGATTTAAGAGTTCAAAGGCATAAAGGCATTAAGTACTCTGTGTGCGGCTGGGGCTCAGAGGTAGAGCGGGTCGTCCACTAATCCGAAGATCCACGGTTCGATCCCCGGCTCCTTCAGTCAGCTTGTCGGAGTATCCTTAGGAAAGATACTGAACCCCAGATTGTCCCTGATGGCTGTTTCATTGGTGTGCGAGTGCTTACTGAGCAGCAGGTGGCACCTTGTGTGGTCGCCTCAGCCACCAGTGTGTGTGTGTGTGCGCGTGTGACAAATATGTGTCCATTATAAAGAGACTTTATTGAAGATGAATTATCTTTTCGATAGGAAGTTGCTTATTAGCAGGGAAAGTGGTTGTGGTGAACAGGTCGTGAAGGCTGTGTTGCTTTTTAGCTATTTCTGTCTGTCCAGCTGTCAGCTCAAGGTTGACGTGTCAGCACTAAAGAACAACAGGTGGAATAGTTTCCATGCTGCGACATACATGTGATGTAAACATGTTTGATTTGCCCCCACAGGACAAAAGAAGAATCCAGGAGAACATCGCAAAGAAACGGAGACAGATTGAAGAGGAGAAATTAAAACTCCAGTACATAAAGGTACTCTTTGCTGCGATAAGAAGAACATCCAGGAGCAAATGGACTGCAGGGGCTGTGTGAGATGTGGTTCTACTGTCTCACTGCATTTAAATAAAGAACACTACAGAGTAGAAAAGTGTCTCCAGCAAACAGACTCCCAGGAGGAACTGTGGGACGAAGGTGTTGTGATTTCATGTACTTCTATTCTAGTGTGTTAATAACACTGCAGCGACCTCTGTTTTGTTTCTGCACAACCTCTGACACAGTCTGAAGGAAGGCCCTCTGCACCAGCATTACATAACTTTATTGTTCTGACTCTACCCAGAGCCGTCTCACTCCAACACTTACAATAAGCCCGTTTCCACCCAACACTTTCAGTGTGGTACCTTTGGAGCCAAAGGTAACCCGTCACACATGCAGCTTATGCCCCGTTTCCACTGAGCAGTAATGCACCTGAAGTTTGTTTGCCAGCTGCAAAGAAGATGCACAGGATGTCTCTAGTGACACAGTGCACGAGAGTGTTTTGTGAGCAGTACTGGAGGATGAGGCCGCATTGCTTGGTTTGTTGGGCGGAAAGTTTTTTTAAAAAAACTTCTGGATGGCAGCTTGGGTGAGAGCATGGTTGTGCAACAAAGAGTTTTCTTATCACCGCAGCACTTCAAGCCTACGGTATCATAGCGAGGCAAAACATGTTGCTGCGAGCACAGATACCAGAGCTAACGTTAGCTACGACAGTCCTGCTACAGGCTAACGGTGTAGCCAGCCCACAGTAGACCAGATAACGGGCTCAGAGCCAAAATAAGTCTGCGTCTGACAAATTAACAAACTCTCTGATGAAATGAAAAACAAACATTTTTGTTGTTTAAGTTCACGTCTGTTCAGTAGCCATGTTTCCATCAGCCTGTGTAGATGCGCATCTAGAAGTATCGCATCGGAAAATTATGATGGAAACTCCAAAATTCGAATTAAAATCCCCTGATTCGCACAAACTAAAATACGCTCGCTTTAGCCGGGTTTTGGTTGATTTGAAAAAATGTTGATTCACAAAACGGGGGATGGAAACAGTTATGTTCGAATTAAGTCTGACGTAGCGCACCTCTCTCCATGGTGATATCCACACTCCGGGTCGGGAAGGCGGTAAGCTATTGATTCAGTCGTTAACCAAAATGTATTTGAACTGAAAAACTTTGCTTATTTTCTCAAATATTGCTATTTGATAAAAATGCGATTAATCTAGATTAATTAATTACAAAGCCTCTAATTAGTTAGATTATTTTTTTAATCACGTCCCACCACTAGTTTATATAGATTAATTTGGAGCGGATTATGTGAAGGTCATATATTCTAATCCTCACTTCCTGTGGGCTACAGCAACACTAAACCCCTGAGCTTGCCTGAGAAGGACTAAATGCACAAAGCTGCTATTTTTAAATATCCCATGGAGAGAGACTCTCACTGCAGCCTGTTCTATTTTGTTGTGAAAATGTGGGCGTGCAGCCTCGTTCTGTGGACGATAAACCAGGTGCAGACTTCCATCTGTGTCACCGCTGATGAGGAAATACAGCGAGTGCTGGACGGAGCAGTGAGTGACAACAACCCCGCCCACATTTAAGAGTACAAGTGACTGAACTATCCAGGTGTACAGACAGACAGACAGACTTGTGCTGCACGATTTGAGAAAAATGTGCGATTGCGATTACAATGTAATACATAAATGGGGTCATCATTATATGAGGGGGGCACTGACCTGAACTGAGTTATTGTTATGGACAGTGTGTAAGCAGCACAGCACGGCACTGAACACACAGTGGAGCGCCTGTGTTGCGTTCAGGCGTAGTCACGTAAATGACAATTTCCAGCATGTGAATAGGCCATAGCACAACACAGCAGCATGTCAGATGCGCTGAACCCAAGCAAATTTTGCTCAGTTTTTCATTTGTTATTATATAGTTTGTTATGGAGTCTGTGATTTCCCCGTGACACTTTGAGGTCTTGTTGTATGGCGTGACACTTACAGATGTTTGTGTAACTGTGCTTGGATGTTGTTTTATGAGGCTCTGGTGTCTTTCAGTTGTCTCTTTGTCTTTATCGTCACTCGGCTTGTCTTTCTCTCGCATGCGTTCTTCCTACTTTTCTCTGTGCTGTCTCAAGTGCTGATATAGATTGGTCGTGTTGCTGCTGGACGTGGCGACTTTAACTTTTAAACTTTTACACAGCACGTCTTAATGTTCAGCGTCACCGTACCTGAATCCAAAGTATTGCCTTGTGATAGATGTTGCGTGTTTTTGCCACCAACTCAGCCTGTTCATGGTCGTGCTCATGCTCTTCTTCAGCGTCTGTATTGGTCACTGCTGCACGTCGGCTGGTCACCTGACCACACGTGCTGCACACACCAGGATAGCTTGTGGGCGTGATGTCAACAAACTCCACACACTACAGCAGATGTAGTCACATATTCACAGGCACACACGTTAACATTTATTTACATTAAATCACAAATCACAGCCTTGTGTGCGGTTATGTAATCGCACAGCCTGACATCATGATTACAACTGCAATTAGATTAATCGTGCAGCACTAAGACGGACCTCATGTCGTCTTTGAAGACAGTGAATGCTGATAGTTTTTCAGATAGTTGGAAACCATCCGTCTGAGGTCTAAAGTTTACTTACCTGTTAAATGGTGATAAACTGTGAACCTTACGAACACTCATGAACTGATGAAATGATTAGAGTTGTATAACTGCTCTGTCACTGAAGGATGGAAAACTCTGAGGGCATCTAGTGGAGAGGTGGGATGTGACGGTGTTGGGGGGGGGGGGGGGGGGGGGGGGGGGGGGGGGGGGGGGGGGGGGGGGGGGGGGGGGGGGGCACTTCTGAAATATGAATGGGACTCTAAATAACATTGGCAGCTAAAACTGAGATGCCTGTGTGTTGGTGTGTTTGACTGACAGAAGAAAGCCCTGAGGGAGCAGTGGCTGATGGATGGTCTGAGTCAGCAGTCGGAGGAGGAACAGGAAGCCATGAGGCTTCAGGCTCAGGACGTACAGCAGCAGAGTGATGAGCTGCAGAGCAACATCCTCAGGTAACCTGGAAACTGCAGTAAATCCCACAGTACATCCCACACTGGACACAACAGGCAGAGAGCTGGCAGAACTAACACAGCATGTGGGTGAAGGCGTTTATATTTGGTTCAGCTGCACTGAATCATTTCAAGACTGTTGAAACTTCAGTCATCCCAGCGAGTGAAATCAGTAGGTGCAGGGGCCAGTAGTGACAGACTCTGCACACGTAGTCCACTTTCTTAGTATCCATCATCTGGAGAAATTGTGACACACAGTAGGGCTGCCCCCGAACAGTCGACCAAACGTTAGTCGACCAGAAAGTTTATGAGTCAGCAAGATTTCATTGGTCGTGTTGTTGCAGAAAAAATAAAGAAATAGACAAACGTGAAACTCTATCAGGAGCTGCACCCTGTCAGAATAAATCCAAACCTATATGACTGGACCATGTGGGACTTTAATTTGAAAGGACAGACACAGGCAGACTATGATATGGTGTTTATTAAAGCACAGACATCTTGTACTTTGACTCCAGTGCATTTGCTTTTCGTACCTTCCTGTCAACGCACTCTGCCTGTGTCTTACATTTGTCCTCCCACATCCTCTTCCTCCCCTCTCACATGTTCACATCATCATACACCTGAACATTACTGTCTGACAGGGATCAGGGCAAAACATGATTCATCATAGTATCGTGTGATATCTTGAGTGGCGGAATCGTACATGGACGCTATGTGTGGATTTTTTATTATACACATTATTTATTTTGCAAATACACATTTCAATCCAACTTTTGGTCCTAGAATAATAAAATCAGTTGCTTTTTCGCTCAACTAGATGGTGCTGATGTTTTTATTCTGGTGCGGTCAGCAGAGGTTCATCAAAACAAAGATGGAGGCACCGGAGACAGAAATCAGAAATGTGCCGTCGCAGGCGGTTAAAGAGGCAGCACGTGTACGGCCCCTTAATGTGTACATTAGGTTAGTGTTTTAGCTGCCAAACTTTAGTTACTTAATATACTGCATATACCAGTATACCTCTATGCCATTGTGCTAGTGACTCAACTATCTCATGTCCAACTCCTCATAAGGACCAGCTCCAGTCCCTGATTGGCTGACCCACCAGTTTCACAACACATGACGTGTTTCCTGCCGTAAAGCAGGTTTTTTCCATGAAATTTTGCCCCCAGGGGCAGAAGCTTATTGCAAAGATTGCAAAGCCACTAAGTAACCTATGTAAACACTGATAGTCTGATTTTACTGTGGACACTACCTTGTGCAACCCACATTATTTTCATCATGATATGTTTAGGAAAAGATGCTAACTGGAAGATAAAGCAGCCAAAACATTCTTGTTTTTCATGATGAAAATGTTCATTGTAAGTTCTCCTCACGACACACACACTGTAAAGAAAGGCCCAGAAATAACAAGCTGCCGCCCTGTGATAGACAATGATGACATCACAGCCACAGAACATTGTGGGACCTTCTCCAGAAAGACGTACAGGCAATGTGGACCCAGGTTTTTGGACAATCTGTGGACTTTATTTATGTTCATGTGCGTCCATGATAAAGTAAGCGTGGAAGGGTTATTCCCCCGTCATAGTTTGACAGGTGAAGTGTGTCTTCTCACTGCATTCTCATATTGATGTACAACATATGCTGTGTTCCTGTCTGAGCCCTCCATAACTCATGACTCATGAGTCTATGATGCTGATTGTATTAAGACATTTCTCCACCCAGCTCCTAATAAGTTTATTTTCAGCTTCCCTGTTCCCTGGAGATTCATCATCTAATTGATTTCAGGTTAATTCAGAGTCCGTTTCTTAAGGTGGCGGCGTCATCGGTCTGTGCCAAGTCATGGTGGATTTCACCACTAGAGGGCGCACTTTACCAATATTACAGGGCAGCAAGGAGCATTTGATTTGCCTCACAGTTTAATATTCATTGGTGCCTGTTGCATTTACATATCATGTTGGTGTGTCTGTTTGATTTTGGCAACCTTTGTAAATGTTACCACAGCAAACGTTCATCCTGAGAATCAGCCGTTACAGTCCAACACCCTTCCTTCAGCACACACACACACACACACACACACACACACACACGCCTGTTGCTGTCTCTTTACTGCCTCTCTCTCACATGTTCACCTCATCTTCTCTCCAGGGGCTGTCTCCCTGGCTTCATCCCAGCATCCCTCCTCGACTCCTCGACTCATCTTGTAGGACGTCTTGATTTGTTAAATGCGATGGGAGGAGTCGAGGAGAGAGGAGGCTACACGAGTACAACCTTAGCAGAGGTCTTTTACCCCCTGATTGGATATCAGTTATTGATTAGACAGCTGATCAGACTGATCTGAAACATCAGTTTCGTACAGAGTGAAGACCCATAAGAGATTAAACTCAATGTGTCACTGACAAGTTTGATATTTGATTTCTGATTCATCGAGTTCAAAATCTGAACGAGACAAGAGACAAACGACTTTCTGCATTTATTAGAAACAATCTGTTATTTCCCTCATCGACTGTTACTATGAAGACAATCAGAGAGCCTGTCTGTCTGTCAGAGAGCCTGTCTGTCTGTTTTCTGCTCGGCCGCCCGTCAGTGCAGGAGCCTTCCTGAGTGCAGGCAGTTGGAGTTTGACTGGGTGAAGAAGTTGTGTCTGAAAGGCTGAATGTTATCAGATATGGACTGAAGCAGAATATGTCGTCAGATAAAAACATGTTTTGGATTTGGGAAATGATAACATGTAGTTTTTTTTTTTTTTTTCAATTCATTTCGACTTTCGAATACTTTTAACTAGTGACGGCCAAATGAAGCCTCATGAAGCATTTTCTTTACTTCCTGAGCCCACTCATGGTTTAAAGAGAGAGGCTCAAAGAATGGCAATTCAGTGTGCTTTCAACCTTTTGTTGAACAAACAGCGCCATCTAGTGGGCTCAGAAAATAAAGAAATGCTTCATGAGGCTTCATTTGGCCATCACTACTCTTAAGGGATTGGAAACGTCTGGCATCCTCTGGCATCCTCCATCAACTGTGCCAGTAACATGGCGCCACTAGCTTATAAATACATGTGACGTTTGTGATGTCAGAGCTAAATCTGTTTATGGAAAAATATTTTTTTTCAGCAGATATCTGAGTCGTGACCAGACTGAGCTAGCTGAGCAGATTTGTGATAATGTGTGGGGTATTTATTCAGTTTGAGAAACCTGACGATCTCTAGAAAGTAAGCTGTTGGCTGGCGGACTCAACAGGGATGAGAAAACATGTCATTGTCATGTCAACCTTATTAGTCAGACCCTACGTATTTCCATGGAAACAGAGACAAAAAGCTTTTTATTTTGAGAGCTAAGTGCCCCTCAACATGAATATATTTTGCGTTGGTTGTTATAGAATGTATACACTCGCGCTTCAGTGATGCGTACGGACCTCGGCGCTGACATCACCACTGTTGTGACCCAAATGACATTTAAGCACACCTTCCTGTGTAATGTTGCTTGAATATCACCCAGAATGCCGTGTTTGACAAGAGAAAAAACCCAAAACAAACTAAAGCAAGTTCTGTTAGTTAAGAAGTGCTGAAAGGTCTGTTCAGCCGAGTGCTTGTTTCAGTAATCAACACACTTCATTACTCTCTTGTACAGAATAGAAAAGGAGATTGAGGCCTTGGAAACACAGGAGCTCGTCATCTCCGCCAACGAAGAAGTCGTTCTGAAACAGTTGAAAGAGGTGGAGAAGACGGCTGAGGACATCATCAAGGTAGGCTCACATAAAGTGGCTTCCTTTGGGTACTGTGCTTGCTTTTCTGGCTCTTACACTGCTGTGTGTTGCTTACTGATTAATTCTGCTGCTGTGTACGACTTTTAACCTCCAGGCAATGAATCACGATAATGTCTGATAATCCTTTTGCTTTTATCTAACATAAATCACTAACTCCTGATGTGAATAGAAGGGTTCGTATTTGAAACATTGCTCCTAATAGATGTTAGATAAAGAAGTGAACAGACAATGAGGCACAAAGCGCTGGGCGCATAAAGGCCCTGCTCACACAGAAAGTGTTTTGCAGGCAGCAGGGTTTTTTTTTTATTGAATGGCACTAGTGGGAAAAAGTATGCTTGCTGCGCCTTTTTATTGTCGCCAGGCAACCACACTATCATCCCTGAACCCTAACCTTCTAGTGTAATCAGTTGGCTTTTTATTTATTACCTCTGCCGAGGAGGTTATGTTTTCATGGGGGGTTGGTCTGTTTGTCTGTTTGGTTGTCTGCAAAATAACTCAAAAATTTCTGAACAGATTTTGATGAAATTTTCAAGAAAGGTTGATAATGGGACAAGGAACAGATGATAAAATTTTGGTGGTGATCGGTTGAAGCAAAGTGGATAAAATAATAAAATGGAGGGAAATCCGAGCTGCTTGGCGGAGGTCTGAGCTCTCCGAGTGCTATTCTAGTTTTATTTATTTCACAGTAATGAGTGTGTAGCTGCTGCCATGTTGAGGCAGAGGGTGCTGTGTGTAGCTCTGGTTGAGGGTGAGAGGCTGTCAGCAGATAAACAGAGATCTGTGTGGGTACATGAGACCCTAAAAAAGAGGCTGGATCATGGGGAGTACCACCAGTTGGTCCAGGAGCTTCTCCTCCATCATGGACGTTTACAGGCAGATTTTAGGATGACTCAGGGGCAGTTTGACAACCTGCTGTCTATCGTCAGGCCGTATAGCTCTGGGTATCCAGTAGTGATGGCCTCATGAAGCATTTTCTTTATTTTCTGAGACCACTAGATGGCGCTCATGGTTTAAAGAGAGAGGCTCAAAGAATGGCAATTCAGTGTGCTTTCATCCTTTTGTTGAACAAAAAGCGCCACCTGATGGGCTCATGAAATAAAGAAAATGCTTCACGAGGCTTCATTTGGCCGTCACTACTATCCAGCAACCTCTACCAGCATTTTCCCCTCCATAATTTACCAACTGTTAACTAGTTGTCGTGACCATCACGGATGGCCCACCACTGAAATCATCTGATTGGACAACGGGAAAAAAAGATGACAAACACAGAGGTGATGTGGTGCGCTTTTCCACTCAGAGTTGAAGGTTTTTTTTTTAACTCCAGGAGTTCAGAGCGCTTCGGCAGAAACGCCAGGAGCATAGCAATGCAAAAACCACGAGCAAAAAGCTCCAATCTCTATTACAAAGAGCCGCCTTCAGCTGCTAAAACACTTTCTGTGTGATCAGGGCCAGGGGCCGTTTCATTTGTGCTCCTCTGTTGCTATCAATCAATCAATTTTATTTATAAAGCCCAATATCACAAATCACAATTTGCCTCACAGGGCTTCACAGCATACGACATCCCTCTGTCCTTACGACCCTCACAGCTGATCAGGAAAAACTCCCCAAAAAACCCTTTAACAGGTACATTATTTAGTTTTGGAGATGCACTAATTTTTATGAGCAGAGTGAAAAGAAAGTAAAATATTCGTCATTTATTTTTCTGCCACCGCTGTGCATTTTTGCTCAGGTTTGGAGCACACATACTGCAGCACAGTCATATCATTACAAGCATTCAACATGTTGACACAGAGGACAGAGGCCTCCGCTTACTGTTGAATGGATGTTCTTGCTATCATGGTTCTTATTACAGATTGATATATATACAGGATTATGCAAACAATGACCTCCCACAGCCATTATGAGGAAATAGCAGCATAATTACTGCAAAATACCACGTTAGCATGGCATGTAGGATAAGATAAGGTCATGACGTGATGACGGGGACGACAGGAGCCTTCGCTGTCTGCTGCAAAACAGTGAACGCTTCAACTCTTATGCTTCTTATTTTATAAACAGGATGGTGCAAACTATGACCTCCCTACGGCTGCCCATGGGAGGTCCGTTTTCAAAGTGTCAGCAGACGCCAAAACCCTGCACAGTTAGAGACAGTTGCATCATTTTATCTTCTGTCTCCATGATCTCTGTGATGAAGCAGAATCATGGTGTTTACATGAGAAAGTATTTTTAGAATTAAGTTTGTGCATATGTGATTGGTTAGTGCAGGTTGATGTTACATCCTAGAGATCAGTTTAGATTGACTAGAGACTTATGGCCTGAGCCTGCTAATTTGAATGGGGATAAAATAATTTAATCTTGTAGCTCTTGTACAGTTTCCAAAAGTTACCAGACTGAATGGATTAAACCTTGATAGTGAAACGAGTCATTTCGTGGAGGTATTGACTCTGATTTACAGAAGCCTCTTTCTCAGTATAAGTCGGGCAATGGAAAAACATCTCTTATCACATGAGTGACCCCAGAAACTGCAGTACCTCCGTCTGGCCACTACAAAAACTGGCTTTAAAGCTTGGCGCCTCCTGAGGACCTGAATATCAGGAATCAGTGGCCGATGTGAAGGAGGAGCATTGTCCTGCTTATACCATCATCACGTTACAAAGACAAAAAAGGATATTCATTTACATTTTCATTCTTTTTGTAATTCAAATCTTAAGTTGTTCACAAGCCATAACTCGGTTACCAACTCAGGGTTTATCTAATACTTGGGACAGTCGTTACCGCCCCAGCTTGTTGGATCCTTCAAGCCCCCTTCCGTCCGCCCTACAGGGACTTTCCAGCTCCTTATAGTACCTTGTTACAGGCAGCGTTTCAACCTGACACCTTCCATCTGGGTATCATCCTGCTGTGACAGGTGCTGTCCAGCGGCGTTATGCACTGACGCCATGCAGCCGCGTACCTCCTGGAAAGGTGGCTGTTGGCGTCAGTCTGAAGCTCAAATCACTGACAAAGCGGCGATATTTGACGACTTTGGAGTGAGAACGGGCCGGAGATGGCCGTTGATGTGACACAAGTGTCGGTAACGTCAGAGGGCCAGTCTGCTTCTTGCAGCTTGTGTGTCACAGTCTCCATCCTGTGGTGGTCGGAGGATGAGGCTGCGTGCCTGTTGCTATGGTTACTCATACTATTATGTAGGCAGTGCATGAATTTAGAACAGTGATCAGACGATGTCACTGGAACTGTTGGTACGTGTCCATTTTTAGGTATTTAGGGACACCCTGCAGCCAATCAGAATCGAGTATTCACCCAGAGCACGGCAGGGTACGATATCACTTCAGCTACATGTGTATATCACACACAGCTGCAGCTCAGCTGGGTGCACACTGGAGCTCAGTCACACTGTTAGAGGTTATACAAAGTTGACGTGCGGGTCACAGGAGGACCAATCAGATTCTAAGATTTTCTTTGAGTCTAATCTATAATCAGTCTGTGAACTCAAATATCATTGTTTTCCACTCACCCCCTGCTGCCTGTGGCTCTTCCTCTAATCTGTGCTCGTTTCTAACAAGACGCACTCACTGAGGACTGTGTGGGTGTGCTGTGGTTCACTAGAGGCTGCTCTGAGTGAGGAAGGAGGCAGGTAAATGGGCTGCTGACATGGTGGGCGTGCAGTGTGCAAGGACTAATCTGCATAATTTGCTTTCTGGTTGCTGTGTGTATCTGGACGGGAAGGTACAGTGAAGTAACGTGACTTATTCGTGATGCACCATTAATGTGTAGCACTGCTGTGATGTTGACTTGGTGCTTCTCTCCACACTTTGACCCTCAACTGCTCTGTCTTCACACATAGGAGCTAAACGCAGAGTTCCAGCCAGGTAAACACTTTTTCTAACATCTTTTGTGTGACAGTGTTTTTTGTCTAATTCTCTCATCAACCGCAGTATTAACAGATGTGACAGTATTGGACATATGTCAAGAATGAACATGATGTATTGTTCATGTAGGCTACTACTGACCTTTATTGTTTGTCAGACACCAATGACTGGTCGTTCATTTTAAGGTCCATTATCCCGAGATCATAATTTCATGTATTTAATAATGTATTTTTATTTATTTTTTTAAATTCATATAAGAATGTGAATACATCATAATGTGGGAGTTAAATATCAGACTTATTATTTGATGGACAGAACTGTAGTTTGCTCCTCCTAGCATAAAGTCTTCTCTGTACCGCTCTGTTCATGTACAAGATAACATGTAAATCAGTGAGCTAAGTGTTGGTAGTTGTACCTGTTTCCTCCTGCTCCCAGCCTTTCGCTAAGTTAGCCTAACCACGTCCTCGTATGTAAAGCGTACTTGAAGCGTGTAAGATTTAAAAGAATTTAGTGGTTTCTAGCCATGAATCGCAGATTACATCAGGCTGAAACTTCCTCCAGAGTTAAACAGGTTAATCTCCAGGGCTGGTACCTGCGGTTATTCCACAGGCTAGTTAATAACATGTCGGGCAGGAAATCCAAAGTGTGGGATCATTTTGAGAAGGTGAAGGACGAACCCAAGGTGATATGTAAACTCATCTTCATTGGTTGACTACAAACATGACGTATCATCTGAAACATAGAAGTAGCTACATGCCCATTAGCCCACAGCGTCATTAACAGGCGGCTCGCTCAGTGTGTGACCCTCACAGCTGATCAGGAAAAACTCCCCAAAAACCCTTCAACGGAGGAAAAAAAACGTTAGAAACCTCAGGAAGAGCAACTGAGGAGGGATCCCTCTTCAGGACGGACAGACGAGCAATAGATGTCGTACAGAACAGATCAACATAATAAATTAACAGTAATCAGTATGACACAATGAGAAAGAGAGAGAGACACTGAACACTAAATAAAGCAGTTTCACGTTACCAACCGGTGCATCTCCGACACTTTTCTGCATCTTGGAGACGAGCGGCTCGCCCGCAACATGCTACTGTGTGCTCACTCCTT